TTGTTGTTGTTGTTTTTTTGGTTATTTTTTGTTGAACGGGAGCCCCAAGGGAAGAATCCTTGCAGTACAGGAGATAAGAAGCGAAAACTTTATCTCTTGACAAATCATAGGATCTAAATCATAGTCTCAGGTTCTATGTTTCTCACCAACATACTTTTGTTCTCCATAATTTTTCTTCTAAGATGCTGGTAATGAAGACAGTGACAGCGGCGCAAAGAACAAAGATATGGAAACAATTGCAAGAAATTCAAAGAAAAGAGTCTTGTAAGTAAATTATAATGTCAAATTTTATTACTGTTCATACCAAATAGAGACCTTTAGATCTGATTTCAATTACCAGAACGAGTACCAGTTTTTAGCTTTTAAATATTGACGGCATATTCTAAATCATACATTCTCTTGTAAATGTATTGTGCTTGGGTTCCCTGTGGTGCTATAGCCCCCCAATGCCTTCCTACCACTGGTCCATGATTCTTGATTCGTTTGCCCCAGTTACCAGAGGTTCATAAAAAGCAAGAATACATCCAGCTATTCAGCAGAAGACATGGCTTGTATCATGGGACAACGAAGCAAGTCAGCTCCTGACTCACCTGCAGATCTTTCAGAGGTACAATAAATGACACTTGTTAGAAATAATACTGGCACATAAAATGTCTGGAAATGTGGGTTTCTCTAAGCAAAAGGTCCATCATTTGATCCTCAGTGACCTCACACACTTGTTTTCAGAAGCAAGTGTGGCTTGGTTGGTTAGTGTGCTGCCTGCTAAGCAAGAGGTCTATAGTTTGATCCTCAGTGACCTCACACACTTGTTTTAAGGAGCAAGTGTGGCTTGGTTGGTTAGTGTGCTGTCTGCCAAGCAAGAGGTCCATAGTTTGATCCTCAGTGACCTCTCACACTTGTTTTAAGGAGCAAGTGTGGCTTGGTTGGTTAGTGTGCTGCCTGCCAAGCAAGAGGTCCATAGTTTGATCTTAAGTGACCTCACACACTTGTTTTAAGGAGCAAGTGTAGCTTGGTTGGTTAGTGTGCTGCCTGCCAAGCGAGAGGTCCATAGTTTGATCTTAAGTGACCTCACACACTTGTTTTAAGGAGCATGTGTGGCTTGGTTGGTTAGTTTGCTGTCAGCTAAGCAAGAGGTCCATAGTTTGATCCTCAGTGACCTCACACACTTGTTTTGAGGAGCAAGTGTGGCTTGGTTGGTTAGTGTGCTGCCTGCTAAGCAAGTGGTACACAGTTTGATCTTAAGTGACCTCACACACTTGTTTTAAGGAGCAAGTGTAGCTTGGTTGGTTAGTGTGCTGCCTGCTAAGCAAGAGGTTCATAGTTTGATCCTCAGTGACCTCACACTTGTTTTAAGGAGCAAGTGTGGCTTGGTTGGTTAGTGTGCTGCCTGCTAAGCAAGAGGTTTATAGTTTGATCCTCAGTGACCTCACACTTGTTTTAAGGAGCATCTGTGGCTTGGTTGGTTAGTTTGTGTGCTGCCAGCTTAAAATAACATTTTTCTTAATGACATCTGCAATGCTGAATAGCTCTCCATAGGAATTCCAAAAAAAAATTTCTATTTTTTATCAATGTTTTTTACCGATTTTTATCAACGTTTATCCCATCGATCTGATGCATACGTTTTGCCGTAGAATGAGGATTCAGACGATAGCTGTGCTTCATGCCCTGTCATATCTGAAACACATGATCTAGGAATGACCACTATCACTAGTAAGCAGAGCGTTCAAGATTATTTTGCCATGAAAATGGCTGAGCTTAAAGAAAAAAGAAGACTAGAAAGTTCTGCCGGTCAAGACATGACTCAAGGAACAAACAACGAGGAGGACGATAGAGAAGAGACATTGGATGTTGCGAGTCGAAAGAAACAGAAAAAAAAGGCAAGGAAAAGAACAGATGACGTTCAAGAAGATATTGATGATTCTGAGAAGACTGGAGTAAAATTATCGGACGATAAAATTCCTAAGAAGAAGAAAAAGAAATCAAAGAAAAGAGAGTTGAACGAAGATGAAGAGGACGAAGAAAGCACGAGCGAAGTTGCGATCAATAAGGAAGATGAAAAAGCAACCTCGGACGACAAAAGTGAAAAGAAAAAGAAGAAGAAAGAAAAGAAATTAAGAAAAAAAGTTGAAGGAGTAAGCCATTATGATCTTAGAAATCTAGAGGATAAGAAGATTAAATTGCAGAAGAATGAAGAATCTTGTGAAAATGTAAAGAAAAGGAAGCGAAAAAACGGAAAAAGTAAACTAGAGGAAGAGGAAATTTGTCAAAATGAAACTAAAACTTTGATCTCAAAGAAAAAGAAAAAGTCTGACATTGATTCTATTAAAAATGAAGATGAAAAAGAAAGAGGACAAGACGAGAAACGAAAAGAAAAGAAAAAGAAGGAAAAACAAAACAGGAATTTTGAGATAAAAATAAACAAAGGAAAAACAAGGAAAAGCAAAGACAAAAAGGCTAAATAGGTAGGAGATGAAAGATTTCATTTTTAAATTTACGCCAATTTTATGTCAAGGTATGAAAGATTAATAGGTAATGCCGGGATTTCGAAAAATTCCTCTGACTGCCAAATTGGACTCAGCCTACGGCCTCATCCAATTTTGTCAGTCCTCGGAATTTTCCTCGTCCAATTATTTCTTAATTGGACAGCATGGAGTCCTATTACATATACTAATTTTTGTATTCTTGATTTCATTATTCGATTCGATCATTCATTATTGAAAACGAACCTTTCAGCGACATATATGCTTGGCTTTTGTATATGCTAGGCCTCGAAGATTCGTTTTCAGTAATGATTTGGTTTGGCTGTAACTATAATTTTTAGTTCCAGACAGACTGACAGACAGACAGACAGACAGACAGACAGACAGACAGACAGACAGACAGAAAGACAGACAGACAGACAGACTGAGAGACATACGGAAAGACAGACAGACAGACAGACAGACAGACTGAGAGACATACAGAAAGACAGACAGACAGACAGACAAAAAAGCTTTATTAAACTACGGTTAAAAACATCAGCTACATTATATATATCTAATATGTAATAAAATTGAAACTCTTTTTCATGTTTGCCGTGTGGGAGTCCAATTTTGAATAAAAATTGTCAACTCTACTAAAATGGAAAAGGGAATTAGACTTTGTCAAGTCAATGGGTCATCCATTCCACAATACCGATCCGTTATAACTACGAAATAGAAAATACGCAAGCGTGCTGTGTGCTCTCATAGTTCAGGTACTCCGAACCAATCAGAACACGAGATTCATAAAAATTAATTTATAATAAGAAATAATACTAAAGCAATGGCACGTGGTCAAAAATGAAATCAGAGTTGGAATCAAGGGTGGTGTAGTGGTAGTCCACTCGCATCTTACTTCTGGGGTCTCAGGTTTAATTCCTGGACGTGGCATCACATGGGAGTTTATAGATGTTTAAAGATGTTAACATAGAGTTTATTAGTCTAGAATTTTTTAAAACCTAACAAGCTAAGTTAAATTCGATCTGTGAGTTAGCCATGCCCTGACATAGTTCAGCCCAGAGGTTGTTTCAGGGTTCCATCTTTGAGTTAGCCATACCCTGACTTAGATCAGCCCAGAGGTTGTTTCAGGGTTCAATCTGTGAGTTAGCCATGCCCTGACTTAGATCAGCCCAGAAGTTGTTTCAGGGTTCAATCTGTGAGTGAGCCATGCCCTGACTTAGATCAGCCCTGAGGTTGTTTCAGGGTTTGATCTGTGAGTTAGCCATGCCCTGACTTAGATCAGCCCAGAGGTTGTTTCAGGGTTCAATCTGTGAGTTAACCGTGCCCTGACTTAGATCAGCCCAGAGGTTGTTTCATGCAAGGATTCGATAAAATTCGAAGGTTTTTCAATGAAAAAATACATCAATCCAATCCCAATCAAAGGTTTAATCTCAATCTCGATCTGCTGTCCTATATGTTCGTGTTTTTATAAAAAAACTCCGACATCATCGATAGTATATTCTGCATAATATCTCCAAGATGTATCACTCAAATCATATGACAGTATTTTACCATTCAACTATTTACTTCATGTAGAATCAATGCTGAAAATATTGATTTAGATGTCATAGGCAGAGGTACTTTAGAAAATCTTTTGTATACTGTCTACCGTATACGGAGCAAAAACTAAATGGGTTTGCTATTTTTGGACAATTTTTCACTCTTACTTTTAAGTAGTTTGTATCCAATATGATTTTTTGCAAAGCCATGAACTTTTCCTAGTGAGCCTAACAGGGATCAAGGAACAAAGTGTAAAATAAATGATAATAATTTATGATATACATAGAGCAAAATACATACAAATATGATCTAATGCGCTTAACGTGAGTAGAGTCGGGGTTCAAAAATTCAGTTTAGGAGAAATTCAGTCCAAATTTTTATTGCTTGCGAGTTTAAGACTTCAGCGGATTATCGAGCATCAAAGCCCGATTAGTGCTAATCCTGGGTTAACTCTTGATAAGACCTATAGAGTTAATCCTGGATTAATCCATCTTTGAACAACCCGGTTCTGGTAATAGCGCAGCGCAGCCGTGACGTCATAAAAATGAAGACAAAGGCGAAATTCGGACAAACAAACTTACAAGTTTACTTTCAGCAGATAATTTTCACAGCCGATCGCAGTTGATCTTAGTTTACATGGGTTATTATTGTAACTTTGATTAAAAATAATAAAATCGGTTCGTATAATCCTCGTAGCGGTTAAACAGAATGCAATGTTTGTCCGAATTTTTAAGCTATTTTTAGAATCAGCGCGCTGCGCTATTAAAGGCGCGATTACACGGAGCAATTTTTCTCTGCAACCTTTCAAGCAACGGCGCTGCGGTCACAAGTTGCATGGAGCATTGCAACGTGTAACCTACAGCGCAGTTTGAAAAAATGTTTGCGAGGCAAGTTGCAGCAATCACTGCAAAAAGTAGAATTCGTTTCTACTTTTGTTAACGATTGCGTCTCCGGTGCACCGTGTAAACACTCTTGCAACTTGAGTCACAACGTGCAGTTGCGAGACAAGTTGCAGAGAAAAAAATGTATTGCTCCGTGTAATTGCGCCTTTAACAGCCTTCATCATTTTTGAAAAGGCCTCGCTAAACATTGCCTTCCTTCGACAGCAAATTCTTCTGAGCCTCTTGAGGCGACATATCGTAACTGTTCGCCTCTTTCTGTGCATTTACTTCCTCACAGGAAAACTTTTTTCTACCATACACGCACAAGACAAACCAAAATCTTCCTTCTCTGCCTCAGCTTTCCGCCAGAATTTGGGTAGGGATGTTCCGCTGGGTTTCTGAAATGGGTACCCTGTTTACGATTAAAAAAAACTCAAATTTGTGGACCCTGTTAATGATAAAAGATAATTTATTGCACTGACTTCCTGTTTCAATTATCATGTCATCTCACGTATCATTTTTTTACGAAAGCAGAATCCCTGAATATGACAGGAAACTCGGGAAGAACTTGGAACTTRAGTRAAATTGCATACCCTGTTTATGATAAGAAGCTCGAAAAACCATATCCTGTTCAGCGGATCATCCCCGTATAGTCCATATATGGGAGTAATCCCTCCCCCGGGACTCTCCCCCACCCCTCACATTAACGCAATGTCTTACAATCAGGACGATGGGCCATCTCCATTATGTCACGTTACGGAATTTGCAATATCTTGTACAATCAAAAACCAAAACAGTATCAGTTTTTAAATGTTTTATTTTAGCAGTTACATTAATGTGGAACCTCTTTGACAAACAGACATTGAAGGGCCAGAAAGAGGTGTCCGTAATATGTAGGTGTCCTTAATATAGAAGTTATGAAACAAAGAATGTATGGGGATATTGACGGGGCCTAAGTATCTGCTCGTGAGGTGTCCGTAATATAGAACTAGGTTACACTGTATTTTGCACAGTTCTAATTGCAGTTAGGATCTTTTTTGCAAGCTGCTTCCACAGCTTTCTTTCTTTCATTGAAGCGATTCGGGTCAACCCCTGCAGCATCCCAGAACTTCTTGTCAGACATCAAGTCTTTGAGCTTCTGAAGGGACTTGCTGTCCAAGACCTTCTGAATCCGTTTAGAACGTTTCTTCTTGGCCGGGTTCCTGCTGCTCATGGAGTAGTCACCCCGATACATAATGTCCGTCGCGATGTCTTTGGCAACTTGGCTCAAGGAATCGAACTTCACGCCGGCTTTGCTGTATTTCTCGACGAGTCTCTTTGCCTTGGATACGTACCTAGGGTAATCTTTCTCGAACAGTTTCTTCTGTTGCTCATGGGTTAGAGTGAAGTCTTGCAAGTTGTTTTTCTGAAAGATAACAATGATCATAATGTGTTTACTGATGAAAATAATGGAGATTGGTTTAAACTGTGATATACTTCTGGTGCTGCCGCTGGCGATGGTTTGATGGTGGCAAGGTGCACTGATGATGATTTAAAGGTGTCGACAATGATGAAGGTGGTGGCGATGGTGTGGTGATGATGATTGAACGAAGATGGTCGTGATAGCTATGGTGTTTGTGAGGTTCTGGGCTGATCAAAGTCAGGGCATGGCTAACTCACAGATTGAACCCTGAAACAACCTCTGGGCTGATCTAAGTCAGGGCATGGCTCACTCACAGATTGAACCCTGTAACAACCTCTGGGCTGATCTAAGTCAGGGCATGGCTCACTCACAGATTGAACCCTGCTGCCAGATGATGGTGATGAAGTTGGCTATAATCGTGACTGGTGATACTTGATGTTAATGATGGTGTATGCGCTGTTTTACATGATGAGTTACATGCTGATAACTATGATTATATATTATGATCATGATCGACGTACCGTGTTGATTATAATCACTATAGTGGATGATGATAATGTAATGATTGATGGTGTTAGTCACGGCGGTGGTGGTGTGGTGGTATGGTGGTGGCGGTGGTGGTGGTGGTGGTGTGGTGGTATGGTGGTGGTGTGGTGATAGTGTGGTGGTGATAGTGTGGTGGTGTGGTGGTGGTGGTCACGACAGAAATGATAATCATACAAATCATGTAAATGACAAAGTCTATTACTACCGATGATTCATTATAATATTTGTTAATAATAAAATAATAAAAACCTTTAGCCAATCTCGCGCCTTCTTTCCTTTCAACCCAACAGCATTCTTGAACTTGTCAGCAGTCTTGGCGTCTACCCCAGCGGCAACAAGATCTTTCTTAATCTGGTCAGAGCTTCTTTGACTCATATCATACCCTCTTCCAATCGTCACCCCGGACCATGCTCCAGGCACGTGTGGCTTACGACTGAAATACCTACTATTTTTATCGTCGTTTCCTTCCACGTTGAAGGTAACTTGTCCTTGGCTGACCTTGAGCGGGTTGCCTGTGAATTACAATTCAAAAAAAAGGTGATTATACAGTCCTTTGACTGAACGTTGTCGTTGATCGGATCATCCCTACGCGCCTAGACCGAAAAGGATAACGAGTAAATTATCTAGAACTTGCATCATCCAAACTGCTCGCCAGTTTAAATCTTCGCCGTATATTCGAGGCATGGTTTTAGCAAATTAAATGGGATCGAAAAAAGCGAGCTCAAGACGTGTTAGATAACATATGCGGCAGCTAGTAACTGTGAATTAATTATCTCCATGATCCTTTTCGGTCTAGGCGCGTAGGGATGATCCGATCAACGACAACGTTCAGTCAAAGGACTGTATATCATTCTTGAAGCCGACGCTCGAAACTGTGCATCTCAGATTCGAGAGGTTGTTCTCCTAAAGGTGCTCACCATCCATCCGGTAAATCGGAAATTCCGGTTTTAAAACAAATGGTATGTGTCATTCTCAGAAAGTTCCGGAAAACTCGGCCTTCTAATTGACGGAGATAATCCACTTTTCCCGCTCTTTTCGGTTCTCTCGGTAAACGCGTATAGCTTTTGTCGGTAGTCAAAGTTTCCCCGTCTTTTCTTACCATTGTTTTCGAAATCGAATCTTCCCTTCTTCTCAGGTTTTCCTCCCTTCGCAAACCCCAACAAGCTAAATCCCAATTCAAACTGTGAGTTATTTATATTATTAGCCGTGGCCTATCATCTCAGAGATTGTTTCAGTTTCTCTAGTTTTCCTCTAATCGCACAAATCGATTAGTTCCAGAATTTGAAAAATCAAGGTATGGATTCCATGTAACCTTTGCTAACTCTACTTACTATCTATCAAATGATATTTGTATCGCCTGCTGCTAGCTGTCCGATATTCAACAAGGTGGTTGAATTTGGGGACACTTGAATTGCTTTTGTTATCATTGCGTGAATTCGGTTGCAAATACATGTAACATTTTTCTAACCTGTTGGTTGTGGTCCTTGTGTTGGACGTGGTCCTTGTGTTGGTCG